CTCCTGCATTGTAAAATTCACCACTATTTGAGTACATATGTATCTAATGATTTTTGGCAGCTGTGAGCCATTTTCAAGGTCCAAACTGGGCTCACAAAGACTAATGGTCACGACAAGCCAGAGTTTAAGCTTAACAGCACATTTACCCTTCACCCCCATGAAATGATTACCACAGAGAGTCATTTGATAAATGCATGCTTGTGTGAGTGACCAGGGAGACCTTGAGGATCTATACAAGAGCATCTGCAGCCACATACACACAAGCATGAGCGCACACATGTGAATACACAAGRGCACAAAGGAAATCTCCATGGCACGACTTCACTGGGCCTCTTGTCACTATAAACTCTTGCCTTTTGCTCATAACCATGAAAGCCGACTGAAGAATCATTGTTCTTAGTCATTTGCTTTCACTCTTGCTATTCYTTTCCCACACACAGATGCTCACAGAAGCCCTTATGATGCCGAGCTAGTATAACATGCTGCCATTTCTTACAATTACAGGGCAACCTTGAAATGCGCAGCCCTGATTTCATTCCAGGTTTTATTGAAACAAATGGCTGAAGTGAGGCTACTTTAAAGCAGGGTTCCCACCAAACACATTTTGAGCAGCAAAAATGCACCCAARGCCTCAAGTTGGATGCACTGTAACACGTTCGGTGTTAACGCAGCAGCAGACTGGATGCGCAGAGGGAGGAGCGTCTTTTTTTTTCCGGTCCGTCTTTAATGACAGTTGAAATAAAGATAAAATAAAGAAAACGGTTTTGCTTTATTTACTACAGAGCAAGTGAAGGTTGAACACATCAGATAATTAATTCACCAGATAATTTAGAGGTGGTCTGTTTGGTTAGTTTCGCCACTCCAGGAGCTGCGAGATGACAAACTATTTTTGTCCCGAGCCTAYTTTAACAATGCAGTCAGTTTAGCGAGCTGCTGACCCACATCGGTGCTGATATCTCCAGCCAGAGCACCAACTGCAGATGGTCGATTTCAGCTAAAGAGCTCCGGTTTGTCTGTTCTGGGTTCAGGAAACCATCACGTGGAAAAATGATTCTCTCTGATTGGTCAAATTGTTTATATTTCTTCAAAATTATAAGCATAAACAAACTAATTACTTGCAGAGTTGGTGACAATACTTGTTTAAGGTATATCAGGGTATTCAACTTTGTAGCTATTTTATTATGACCCCCACACATGAAGGGGGGTCATATTGTTTTCACACTATTTATTTATTACCTCCGCCAAGGAGGTTATGTTTTCGATCGCATATGTCTGTCTGTCTGTGGACAAAATTACTCAACAACTTATGGATGGGTTTTCATTATTTTTTTACCACAGGTGGGGATTGGCCAAAGAAACATGCCTTCAAATTTTGGTGATGACCCAAAGCACCATCCGGATCTAGGAATGTTTTGAAGGATMCTTCACTATTGCAGGATAGGGGAAATTGGCCTTGGTGGAGATTTGTGTTCTCCAAGTGCCTCTAGTTTATATTTTTTTCCCAGTAATTTTTGGTCAACCTTATCATGGAAATGGCTGCATCAATTAAAATGAAATTTGGCAGAAATATACAGTATATGTGTCTGACCTACACTGTGCGAGCCAGTGGTTTTACGATAGACCCCATATTTGAGGAGGGGGCTCTGCCTGAAAAGGGGGTGTCTAGACATACAAAGGTGCTTATAACTCAAAATACTCAACATATGAGCTTCAGATTTTTTTGTTGTTGTTTAGTTATGATGGAAGGCTATCCATCAAGCCCAGCAATGAGTCGCCCACACCACTCCGGCCCCCTACACCTTGTGAAAAGGGGGTGTCTGGACATAGAAAATGCTTATTACTCAAGAAACTATTCAACATAGAAGCTTCAGATTTTATTAATTTTTTCTTTGCTTATTTAGCTCTTGATGAAGAGCTAGCCATCAGGTCTACAGATAAGTGCCCCCCCCCACCCCCAGCCAAAACAATAAATTTGTTCTGGTGAATTCTGAGTCCTGGTGCACATGTGCAGGGGTGATATATGCTACCGCTATGTGGTATCTAGTTTTCTCTGCATCTGTGTCTACTGTTTAAGAGATGGACTGCTGGCTTCCCTCCCAAGTAGATAAGCAAAACCCTTCAATTCATAAAGTTCCTTTGCTTAATTTGAAAAAGTGAGGGTTTCTTTTAAACATACAAGCATATCTATTTACCCCTTTGGCTCCATCATGACTTATGCTGGTGTCTGGAAGAGGGAGGGTTGAGTTTGAAGAACTTCCAATGTGAGTCACGGTGATGGATGTGGGAGGATCAGGCACTCCAAGGACTGTGATGTCCTCAAACATAATGTTGTTTGGGTCTTTGTAGTTAGCATTGGTCACCTGCAATGTCAGTAGCCCCTGCAAGAATAGTAAGCACACACAATTTGAGTTTAGATTTATTTAAGGCAGAGGCCTTCAACATTGGGGTTGCAACCAGTTTATTTGTTTATTTACTTTTTTTATTCAAAGCTTTAAACACACATTACTATAAACCCAATGTGTGACCAGTTGATAAACTGAGGCATAAAAAATGTATTTCAGTCAGAAATGCACACATCCAGTGAGAACACAAGCTGAATTCTGTTTCACTCACAGTCTATGAATTCTGCACACAACCAGTTTTTGCTTTATTAGTGCTGTAAATGTTGCAATATTTATACAACACTGCAGCTCCCAGTTATAGAAGTCAACTAGTGCCAGTATACACTATGTGGTKCTTTCTCTTCCAGACTAAAAAAAATAAAAATAAGACCCCTAAAGGCATAACTGCAAGCATTACTTCTGTCAGAGCTAATACAGGTTCTACCAGAGCAGTCTGCAAAAATCCAAACATTTCTGTCAGACAACTATTACAATAAATGTCTTATGTGCAGACACTCTAACATTATAATAAAGCTGTATACAAAACAGTCTTCTTGTTAAATGAGCATGTAAGGCAATCAACCAACAAAGCATTAGCCACTGAATCAACTTAGCTTYGCAACTGGACTGGGAATTCCAAGGCCTACAATAATGTTCAACTTTGAACTGAAACACTGATTAATATTTGGGTTTCATTTGAAAAGAAAAAGGTAGATGCATAGGAGAAGAACAAAACTTACTTTGTCAAAAGCGAAGTTGTAGTGGATGTACTTTTGATGTTTTACTGTATCTGTAAAACAAAAAGGTAGAAAAAGACCAAAGCATTAGATATGGTTAATTTAGTCATACCGCAGCATTACTGATGTTTGCTTGTAGATGTTGATTTGTGTTTACACTTCTATTGACTTGATACTCTTTGAGCTCAAACAAACAAGTGRTTCCATTATGTGATCAAAAAAAGAGCACCTGTAATCAATGGTAATAACTCATCACTGTATAAAAAATCATAAACACATTTGTCTAAATTGAGAAAAAGCAACCATACCTCGGGAATCTCCATCATCCCAGAATAGCTCCCCGGCTGCCTGGTTGTTGTCATCAAGAGCAATGATCAAACCCATGGGGTTAAGCCGACTAGACAAGCATAGACAGGTGCGTGGAATTACAATTCAGACAGTCAAGAGACTACAAATATATCTCAGCTAACAAATGCATTCAAATTAAATATGAGACACAACATGGTACATTTATGATTGCACACTTGTGCATGTGTGACAAAATGTCACAACAGCTGTACCTGTATGTAGTGGTGACCTCAGGTCTCTGTGTGGGGAGGATGCCCCCTCCTCTGATGTGTAAACCAAGCTTGTCAGCTGGCAGATACAGTTCAACATTCGTTTTGCGGTCTSCCAGCCGTTCCATCTAATTGATTAAATAAAATAATAAGTTTACTCAATAAAACTTCCTTCCTCATGGGCAAAACAATCACAGTGATAACCCTCAAGGMGAGGAGAGGAACCCCAGTTATCTACTGGGGTGAGCTTGAAAAAAAAGGCCTTGGGCTTGCATGAAATTGCAGCTTTTGTAGCAGTTTCATTTTTCCTGGAGCTGCTGTTGGAGCTGCTGTTACATCTGAAGGTAAGCATGATGTAACTGTTTTGCCATTGGTGTAAATAAAGCTTGATTTGTGAGGTTCTGCAAATGTACTGTGGTGTTTCCCAATCGGCTTCAGAGTAAAAGAAACAGACAATACCAAGATATATTAATTAAGATGTAGATTCTCAGTCAACCAGGTCATGGAGGAAGTAGTCATGTTATTTTTGCTGTATTCGATTTTTCACAATTACTTCTTAGTGTAAGATATTAAACACTAACTTATTTTAATGAATTGTAGCAAAGTGAATTTCTTTAATTGAAAATAATGTATCCTTATAAAATGTACCTTCCCTGATTTTTTGTCAAACAGCAAAACAAACAGTTTTTGCGTCTTCTATTTCCAACATTGCAAAACAGGACAGCAATGAGATTAACTCATTSAACTCAACTCATTGCACATCTTTGAAAAATGAAGATGACAAAGATATTTCTGCTTTCTTTGGATTATGCAGCATTAGTCCAGTGGCTGGGCTTTTACTAACATAACAAAACAAGGGTTTGATGATTAAGGCACCGTTCTATTTGGTGTATGAGTAGAAAAGTGCTTTTGAAGTGTATTATTAAAAAAATAATAATAAAATAAAAGTGTGAATGCTGGTGGATGAATAAAAAAATATACAGCACACTGCATAAACTAAATGGGTTATTTGAAAGTAGACCATTGACATAGAGGTTCTATAATATTGTAACACATTATCTTCTACAGTAGCTTATTTCTGTCTGAAAAAATCTGACTCAGTTCATGTTTTGTTTGCTAATCTCACCAAACATTTTTATAAAAAAAAATGAGGCAGCAGCTGTATTTACTTTTAGCAGAGCATCATTTGAATTCAAACTTTTTTGGTTTGTTATATTGTTGAAGGAAATTTACCTTTTACTACAAATTACTACAGTTGTACAATAGAAGATCAAGAAGTATGTAATATACATAAAAATAAACACATTAATTGTATTTTTTTTTTCTGAAATCAAATTCAGCTACATTTTGTTGAGTGTATCAMCAGATTTTAATATGTTGTATTACTGATTATCAAAGCTTCAGTGTGTCTCTTATGGTGGTAATGTTCATTGTGTTGCATATGTTTTATTGTTAACTACATTTTYACCATTTGCAACACTATTTTCACTTTTACACTTTTGTTCTATGATGTGAATGGTTCAGATTATAAGGCAAATATACAGTACAATATATCATCACTGTTTTGTGTAGTACATGGTGCAGTTTATTTTATATATATATATTTTTTTTTGCCATAGAGTATGATACTATTATGTTATTATGTTTATAGGGCATGTAGATACAGTTATTCCCATTTTTTATTTATAAAACTAAAATCCTTACTGCTACATTTCTCCACATTATCTGTTCACTACATCTTTGAAGAATTACTTTTGTGACAGAGAAAATAATGAGAATTTTAAAAAGGTTTTCATAAATATTTAGAGAATGAAAAAAGGGACAGAACGGCTTGAAGGATGCATTAAATGTGCTGTTCTATGTTGTAATTTAGTATTAGAATCATCTCTCTCTCTCTCTCTCTCTCTCTCTCTCTCTTTTTTTAAGTGTACACCGTTCATTTTTCAGAACATCCTGACATTGCAGTTAATTTCTGATCCCCTGAGGTCAGAATTCTAAGACCAGTCTGAAACAATTTAAAAGTCTCTTCTCATTCTACTCCCAGCTCGATCTGTTTCCACACCGTGTTGTTCTCTCTTGTGGTGCTTTAACTATTTTATTTATCCCATTTTCATCCATTTCCACTGAGGGCGTATATGTGTATGTTGCTGTAGAATATGGGCGTGTGTGTGGGCTGGGGTTAGTGGAGCGTCTATAAGCAATTTCAGATCCTATCTTCCCCTCATTGTCTGCCTTAAGGAGGTCTTTTTTAGGCTTGTCCTCTCTTCCTCTCCTTAGTCTCACTGTCCAATCTTCGGTTCTTCAAATCGCTCTAAAATATGTCCCCACCTCAGTGTTTTCTTCTCTTTCCATACTATGTACTGTTTGTCCTTCTTTTGCTTCATTTTTCTTCACCTCTTCCATCAGTTTTTTTTCTCAATCTTTTTTGTTTGTTCCCATAGTGTTTTCTTTTGCTGTAACTTGTTTTTTTTTTTCATGGTCATTTTCACAAATATAAACACTCCTTCATCCTTCCATCCTCCTACCCATATAATCACAGGGGACCAACCAGGACAAGTGGCCAGCAGCAAAGACACCCAATCTAATCGCTCATCTGATCAGTGGGCGCTTTTACATCACCACTGCGATGCCCAAATAAGGTCCCAGTGGAGTCCTGCACCTCTTTTATCTCTCTGTCATGGAGARAGTCACTCTTCTCCAGTCCTTGTCCCCTCTTTCACTCCCTCTTTGTCCTAACTCTCACTGCCTTATCACTCTGTTCTCTCAGTCTCAAACGAAGAACTCAAGGCTTTCATGTGACACGTGGTGTTTTGTATAATGCTGGTTTGGGACTAAACAGCATTGCAGTCATTCGCATCCGTGTTCARAATCAATTAGGCACACTGGTGTGATCTCATACATTTTAACACAATGTTGCCATGAGTCATTTTAAGCCTAAATGTGATCCCTTTTTTGCACAGCTGTAATGCTGTTTATTAGAGATTATTTTTCTTGTTTTGTTTGTTTTTCTCAGTGCTATTGAGTTTTATTTATTTATTTATTTATTTATTTATTTATTTATTTATTTATTTATTTATTTATTTATGTTCTGCCTCCAGACCAGTTAATTCTAGTGTGATATAGGGGGTTATGGCTATCTGGCAGCATATAAATGGTTTACACATAAACTAAAATATGTCAACAAGGGCCAAATGCCCACTTTGGCTGAGTGAGGCTGCCACTTTTATGCAAAATTATCACTCGATGTGACATGCTTAAAATATGTGCTTGGAATGACTCTAAGCTACTACCACACCACAGTGTCAAATTAAATTAATGGTGGATAAAAAAAATACATTCTTACTGTCTCATAGTTGTACCATACTGCATCTGGTATATAAGCCTGGATTTTGTCCACACCCTGTAAAAAAAAAAGAACAAATATTTTCATGGATGTACATAGGTGGCTTATCTGCTTGTTTTTGCTATCAAATGTAATGATCTGAGTAAAAGACATCCAAAGCTGTCATTTTCTCATTTGTTTTAAACAATAGCTGTATTTGATTTATGCTTGAAATACATGCTCACTGTACCACTTCAGGCACTTTAATCTTCCAAGGCTAAACATGAGCAGACAAGCTATGATACACAAATAAAGAAAGAACAGATGGTTTCTTCAGCTATAAATTACCACAGGCCATTTGGTAAAGAAGAAGATAAAATGTTCACATCTCAGAAAGCTATTCTATAACTGCCCATCATCTAATAACAAAAGTTTTCAACAAAGCCCTTGTCACATTTCATCTGCAGTGCAATGACGCAATGGATGACAGCAAATACAGCACCAAGAGACGACTGATAGGTGACAGCCTCTGATGGCTTAAGGTGTTGGACAGACAGGGGCAATCAATAGACACGCACCCAAGCCTTTGATAGCATTGTCACTTCCCTGTGCTCTCTGATAGTGCAGAACAGAAAGAAGGAGAAACAGATAAACACAGAGGGCACAGACAAAAAAAAAAGAGCAGAAAACTACTTGTTTTGTAAAAAGTAAAGAAAAATAGAAAAGATGAAATACTTTGTGTCAAATGAGTTGGCCAAAGCTGCCTGCCAAAGGCAGTGATGTTACCAGCCATCTTTTGTATGTGTCTCTGACACTCTCCAGTTGTACTCTCTATGTCAAAGCCCTTCAAGGCCTGGTTTTGTAGTATAAGGGTGAAAGGATAAAAGCAAAAAAAAAAAAAAGCAAAAAAATAAAAGAAAATTCAATTTTGGATGTAATCAAAAATAATTGTATTTCATTTTGTAAAATAACATGCTATTACCCACTATATTTCACATTGCTGCAACACCACAATAACCCCCCCCCCAAAAAAAAATGTTTTCTGTTTTTCAAATACATAGACATACATAAATAATATAATTATGAGGGGTCACACTTAGAGAGTTTGTCATATATTACATGAAATAATTATTGCATGACTGATGGAGTGACAGGTTGAGGAAATATTTTTCCTCTATACCTTGTATTTTGTGTCTAATCTAGCCAGTGCCTATCATRCATGCCACTGACTGATGTTAAGGGTCTGCAGGACGTAGCAAGGCTGCTAACTTTAATTGAAGGAGACATGGCATAAGGTCTTTATCCTCATTTTAGGGCTCTGAAGATGAGTTAGCCATAAGGTAAGATTTGATCAGGTGGGCCAAAGATTCACTCTGGCAGAATGATCAGATAGTAGCTGCGGTAGGCGACAGGGGCAGAMTGAAAGTGTGTGAGAGAGTTAAAGAGATTTGATGCAATGGAATGTGATCACAAGGGTAAGTTAGGAGCAGCTGATTAAGATAATTCAGACGGGAGCCAACGTTTGATGAAAGGTTGAGTTAAAAAGAAGCAGGAGTTATCGGCATGAGGACAGAATGAAAGTATGATTGAAGACCAGAGAGGACAGCGGAGAGAGGGAGCACAAGAGATCCCCTTGGTTTATCACAGAGATCAAGGTTAAGGTATCGACTGATCTGAATGATACAGAAAGAGCAACATTAGAGAAATGCAGAGACAGAAAGTGGGACACATAAAGTGAGAGAGAGGGAAGTAAAGAAAAAAAGCCTGATATACCTGTTACAAAATGTAGATACTCTGGTCTAGTCCTGAAATTCACTGCTACACAACTTCTCTTTAAAGTGAACACTTAGAACTAGAGGTGGAAAAAGTAGTAAGGTACTCAAGTAAAAGTATGGTATTCTGTTGAATCTCTGTCTGTGTACGGATGTTTTTGTGAGATCCCCCCCCACCCAAAAAAAAACAACAAAAAAAAAAACTGACTGAAACCGCCACTTCGCCAAAACAAAAGAAAAAAAAAAAGAAAAAAACATGTCTGTGCGTCACCTGCAGCTGAACCACGGAGTGCAGTAACATCTCCACCATTAAAACCTGTTGCAGGTCCATTTTGAGCTCAGACGCTGTTTGTTTATGTTCACGATGAAAGTATAACTTTTATTTATTTATTTATTTATTTATTTATGTATTTATTTATTTGTTTATTTATTTTAGGGAAAGTTAGCAACTGCGTATGCCAGTGCTTTTATTCTGAGTAAAAGTCTGGTGCATGTAAACAATACATTCTGATTATTTAATCTGAATACATTTCAATCTGATCAAAGAATTGTGTGCATGTAAAAATAGCTACTGAGCCAAATGTAATTCTATAAGCATATTCACAATCCAATGACAAACTGTTGAAAATTTGCTTTTGGTGGTAATATATGACCTTTATTTGTGCACTAAAATTCTGTATACTTAGCACAAAATGTAATGAAATGGTCTTTGGTAGATCATTTCTTTGTAGGACTGCTTCTTGGCAACAAATCTTACAGTCAGAAAGCCTGTTAATGTTCCCTTTAAATGGTGCCACATTTGAAAGGAACATGCATTTGTGAGATGAGCAGTGGAGCTAAGAATATGGGTTGTGCTATGAAAAAAATGCCAAATCTTCTCTGCCAAACAGCTTATTTTGTTGTTGCTATGGACTGCTGTTTTTGATCTTCTGGTACCTCCAGGTGCTGTAAATCAAATGCCCTGTATATAAGGGTGTATTCATACCAGCCCAGTTTAGTCCACTTTAATTGAACTCTAGTTCATTTGCCTATAATTCTGGTTCATTTGGGGAGGTGTGAAAGTGCAATCAAACTCTGATGTGGATTAAAAAAATCAAACGTCCGCCCTGAAACCTAGGTCTCAGTTTGGTTGAATTTTGGTGTGGTTTGAAAGCATGTGTGAACACCAAGCGGACCGGAGACCYCTCCAAAAGCAGGAAGCGGACTGTGCAGGGAATTCTGAGTAATAACAGTAATAAAGTTACTCATAACTTGTAAATACCTCGGTCGATGTATGTATTTTGCGAATATCACTGCTGTGAAGCTGTAAAGGATGTGCTCCTATTAAGTGAACGCTGCCGCATTGTGTGGAAAACAATATTCTCCATGGTTTTGCCTCATCCTCCACTGCTGAGTCTATTGCTGAAGAATATTTGTTTGACACATTTGCCAAAAACAAAACAAAGAAAATAATAATCTGACAACCAATAAAATCTGACGTCACTCAATATTTATTTACATTTTATGAAGAAGTAAGTTGCGCTTCATATCTTCTTCAAAGGTTTTCGTGARGATTCTTTCAGTGGTTTGTGTAGCAGCGCCCCCACAGGCAAGGGGGGAATGGGTTCAAAAAAAAATAAATAAATAAGTAAGTAGGTCCTCTGGATGGGTTKTTTTTTAGTGAAATGTTTTGTCTCTCCTACAAGAGACTTCTTCAATCTGATGAGTTTCAGGTGAACTCAGCCTTATAAGCACTGTCTCCACATGGACAAATAGGATAGTCATATGCAAAAGAGGGCCATCGCCTACAGTAACAATAGGCTTGATTAGCCCATTGAACCCATCCAGAGGACCTACTTCTTTTTTTCTTTTTGATTTTTTCTACCTGGATTACTGAGATGCATCAGACGAGGGAGTGGGTTGTTTACGGGGGTTTAGTTTGTTTGACAAAGAGCAGTGTGAATGCAATTTTGGTCCCCAATCAAACGAGGGCAACACTTCAAATTGTTGATCCATTTTTTGAATAAGTATAGTTAATGTACTGGAAATTCATTTAATGAATGTAACCCCATCATCACAAGAAAAGTCATTAATACCCTACTTGGAAATGAACTTTTATTACAGAGATATCTCTGTATTCAARTTTCAGAGCACAATGATGGGAGTGTTTATTAGTTACAAAAAAGAAAATGAGTCTTTGGTCATATTTGTTATGAGACTTTTGCATACCTAGTGCCAATGGGTTTCTTTTGTATCACCTGCTTCCATTCTTTTCTTTCTTTTTTAGCCACACAGTTACAGCTGAACTGTGCCGTTGGCTGCGAAAGGATCCCGAGAAGGTGCATTTATCTTCATTCACAAATCATGTTTGCTCAAAATAACATCCCACCTTGTCGCCCCTGTGGCTGTCCTTTCTCACTGAATTTGGTTTTGTTCAAACTCTGAAATACTGCAAGTGTAAACCTTCCCTACTTTTCCTTTTATTTTTTTACTGAAAACTTTTCCCCAATCACACTGATTAAAGTTATTTCATCCTTGTCTCCACAATGAATCCAATTCCACTTTTTTTGTAATTCTCAAGAGTGGATGCTAAATTGCTTATTATTTCAGCCCCTTTGACATAACTGCAATCACTGCACACACYATACATATATAAGTACTGTCGGTCTCACAAAAAGTTACATATTCACATATGCAAACAGACACTCGAACAAACATGCACTGACACACACATACACACTTCCATCTACACTTCTAATCTGCTAGTAATGAGGTCAGTGCTCTCATTAGAGCTGAGAGAAAAGAGGGAGGATTTGAAAGAGAGAAGAAGGAAGGATGAGAGAAGGGGAGGGCAACAAAGAAAATCCCATGTCATGTTTTCCCACTGGAGGTCATGGTATTTGTGTGTATGATTAGCTGATCATCTCATCTGCAAGACGCAATCCTTATTGTGCAGTAACCACATTTTTCATGTACTTTGTGGAATGACTTCAGTATCTATATGATGCAAAATCTGTAATATTTAATTGCACTTTTGTAAGTGGGCTTATAAATTGCAATCTGCCTATCCTGAAATGRGATCTTTCTTTCTTTTCTATTATTATTATGATTAGTTTCAGAGTTAGCTGACCGGATCAAGCACTGGTGTGATGAGTAGGTGTTTTCCCCAGAGAAACTGTCGATCCACATTCCAGGTGGCACTATCAGAGTAGAACCTTTAAAACATAAGAAAACAAAACAAACAAACAAACAAACAATAAATGAAAAAAACAAATTATATATATTCATGAACACTTTCCTAACCATATCTCAAATTCCATTAACTAAAGACTTTGTGATATTCCTTCAGATGTTGCAGCATGCTTCTTGCACACGTTCATGGTGACGGAACAAAGCGACTTACTGATTTTAGAGATCCAAGTGAAAACCTTGGGAACAATGCTAGGTTCTATATATGTCTTTGGTGATTTGAACGGTATATACATTTTATCAGCCATACAGTTATTTAACTGACAAACCTTCAGGGGTGCAAAAACTCCAGAAATAAGTTTATATGGATTGAGTGTTTACTGTAGCCTAAACTTATTTGGTGTAATGGAAAAATAGTGACGAGTTGGCAAATATTTAAGGAAAATGACAATTTTGCTAGAAAATAAAGAATTTAGAAATTACTGTTGCTGAGCAGATATGAACTAAACCATATTTAGTGACTCAAGTGGACAAGTTACTGCACTTGAAATCAATATGGCTTCAGTTTTCTATAAAATATATTTTTATGAGAAAAGTATATTTGTACACATACCCTACTTTTAAAACAGTGTTTACAGTAAATACTGGGCACATTGTATATGTTTTTTTTTTTTTTATTGAGTAAAGGAAATGACACACTCCCCTGTGTGAGTTAGCACTGTGAGGATTTAATTCAACATAATAAATGACTTACTCATGCAAGACAGGCCGTACAACTGTCTCTCCGGTGGTGTGGGCTTTGTAGAAGAGTGTGTAGAGGTACGGCAGGAGAGTGTAACGTATCCTCAGGTAATGTTTGGAGGTCTGCACCAGCATTGAGTCAGCACCATATGCAGCTGGATCTTGAGGCTGGAGAGAAAAAAAAAGTAAAAAAAAAAAGATTAAAGGGCTAGGGTTGATGAATAGGAGAAGATGACAAAAATAAAACACAGATTTGTCTTTAATCTACTGGGGAACAAATGAAAAATAGATGTAAGCACAGAGGAAACAACTTGTTTGAATAAGGTAAGGTGAAGCTTGGATGGGGTCATGAGGTAAAGTGAGGGGCAAGGAGCCTAAAGCAGGGGTGGAAAAAATCTTAACAAATCATAGATGTGTTTAGGATAACTAAGTGGACGATTAATCCATAAGAATAATATAGACATAAACATTACAAACGAATAATCTTAAAACAGATTTAGCAAAGAAAGAAATAAAAAAAACTGAGTTATGATTTAACTTCTATTATACAGGCAACTGAGAGGGTGATTAGCTGCTAAAAGGCTGACTTTGCTCAACTCATTTATGCCCCCAGAACCTCCATGCATCTGATGAGAACTTGTGTATGAGTGTGTGTGTGTGTGCGTGTGTGTGTTTGGTTTGGTTTGGGCTGTGTGGGCACTTGATGAGTGAGATGATTAGGGCAAAGCAAAGGTCACACATTAGCTGTCTTGTTTAGTGGAAATTGTATATTAAATTCAGGATCATTTAGTGCCTGTCCTCCAGCAAATACATACCCTACCTTCCATCGCAAACACATGCTTGCATACCCCCCCCCCCACACACACACACACACACACACACACACACACACAAACCTTCCCCAACCCAACCTCCCTATCTCAACTCTACTATTCTCTGCAACAATGATGAGCATGGAAATGTCACTTGAAGGCTTTGATTGTAGCATCCGTTTCACAATGTTTGGTGCTTCAAAATGACTTTTCTCTCGAGTTATTTGTGTCAACTACTAAATAGTTCAGCTGCAACAGAAACACTGGTTGAAGCTCAGCAGGCACTCCTCCTGAGTCTCTCAGTGACATACAGCTGCCGATTTGACAAGTGACATTTGTATTGAGCTTGTTAACAATAAATACATATCACAAGTTGGTTATGTGTCACAATGTACCAATTCATTATGCAGATATAAAACTGAGGTGTGTGTGACTGTGCATGACTTGTGACTTTAATCCACTGGATTCTAGGATACTGTGAAAGGAGGGGCAGCAGCGCTATAGTTGCTGGGAGCATAGAACTTTCAAGGATGTGTATTTCCTCCCATTCTCTCATCTGGTAAAGAGGGGAGAATATCAGCATGTGTTGCTTTGCCAACAAAAAAACAAAACAAAACAAAACAAAAAAAAAAAGGAAAGAGCATTCTTCGCTAGTAGTTTGATCAGAGAGTGCAGTAACATCTCCATCATTATTAAAACCTGGTGCAGGTCCATTATGGGTGCTCGAAAACCATTTAATCACAGAAGAAGAACTTCTTCTGTATTTTTTTTTAGGAAAAGTTTACAACTCTGCATATGCCAGTACTATTACTCCTAATAAAAGCCTGGTGCATGAAAKTGCTTGTCATGATCAAATTAATACATTTTGTGACCCACATAAATTACACATTTGGATTGTTTGATCCAAATATGTTTTATTTCTAATCAAAGTATTTTTTGCGCATTTAAGCATAGCTAATGARAGACAAACATTAGAACGTATTGAACCTGGACACCCATTACTGCAGACAAAGACTCTATCCATCAATACATCTCTTACTCCACGCTGCATCCCTTGTGAGCGACACACCCAGATACTTCCCCTCCGCTTCTTGAGACAAAGATTAAACCCAGTTCAGCGGGAAAAAAAACATATTGTATACAAGTGAACACATACATATGTATAACGCAAATATTCTATAGACCATTGAGCTACTATTCACATTCAAACCATACATACTGATTCCAATTTGCTTATTTTATTTCAGTTTTAAGCATTAAATAGCAGCACACCATACAATCACTGCATGCATTCTGTACATCTAGCAGTGCAGTGAAACTATCATCAAGTTATATCTTGTATTATTAAGAATCACGTCCTATTTTTTATTAATATTCATGTAAATGTAAAACCAAAATAATAATAATAAAAAAATGCCTCACAGAACTGATTCATTGCTATCAAACACATCCTGTCAGTTTCACAGCTGTGGCTGAGGCAGTACAGGTAGAGAGCTAATCCAACCCAGTCCATCTGTTGCCTGTGGGGGCCAGCTCAGCTGAAACTTGAAATGTTTTTTTTTTTTCAACATGCTGGTTGTGCGTTCAACATATGGCACATCACATTATGCTAATATGATATATTATTGTGTTATGGGCATATTTTACTTATAATCTTTAAACATTGCTTTGCTGTTACATTTTATTTCAGTTTCAGATATAATTCAGCGCCCAGAGCAGCTAGGATTTTCAGCAGCTCACGATCATAGTTTTAAATCCAAAACCACAGGTCCCACTGCTCTCATTACAGTATATAAAGCAATTGTACCAGTGTTGACATGATGATAAACTCTATGGATAAAAAAAGTAGTTTATATTTTTAACCGCTTTGAGTTTATCGCACCTCCACAGAGTTATGAAATAAGGGGTATACCCTGCAGCACTTCAGCCCAAACAGGGGCTCTGCCATCCATAAATCTAAAACAGACATTCTAATATAAGAACCAAGGGACAAAATGCCTTTACAGTACCTTGTAGCCCTGAGCGTTGTGGTTTCGGCTGAAGGGATAGAAGGCGCCCACCTGCATCCAGCGACGGCACAGCTCTTCACTTGAGTCGTCAAAGAAGCCACAGATGTCAGCTCCGATCTGAAACACATAAGAGGATGACAGGCTGACATTTTGCAAGATTCTGCCGTATACGTCTGCCGATCTCCTTAAAATTGTTGTTGCACTGAAAACATTGAGACGGGAATGTCATTTGATGAACTCAAAGTAAGAAACTGAATGCACTGGATTCCCAGTTTGAGGCATTAAAATGWAATATCTCCAGGTTATAAATGTCAGCCCAAGTTTCTTTGATGAGAAAATAACTGGGTCTGAACTTAGGAGATCTCTTGGTGTATTAGGAAATGACACACATAGGATGATTGGTCACGAATCCCTTTTAAAAACGATTCACTGCACTTTACTAACAGAAAGTGGATGAGAGCAATATTAATTATTTACATTAATTTCACAATAGAGTTCATGACTGCTTTCTGTTATCTACAAGTGGACACGTTTAACAGCAGCCTCTGAATCCATATAAATCAAATTTATTTTCTTCCTTTTCTGTTTGTGTTTGTGTGTGAGTGTGTGTGTGATACTGAGGAGCCTAAAGTCTGCTTGACAGAGTCCTACCAGGAGTAGTTGGCATCTGTAAGACCCCCCTGGTGTGCACAGCTGGATGAGTGTGTGTGCGGTTTGTGTGTGCAGCTGACTTCCTGTTGTTTTCTTACTGCTGTTTGCACTTGGTGCAGTGAAGGAAAACACACACACATGGGTGGTAACTGGCAGTGAATTTAGTTCCGAATGTGACGGCATTCTTATAAAGTAGTGTTTTTCCAGGCATTTTAATGAATCTTATCCTGACACCTTTCTTGCCTGCCTCTCTCTCAAAATGCATCAGTCAGAATACAAATATATCTCTTTCTGTCAGTTTATTACTTACATAAGGGATTCCAAACAGACCAAATTCTAGCATGCCAGGTATAGCCCATTTAATGTCATTCCAGTTGGCAGCATTGTCCCCCAACCAATGTCCTGAATATTTTCCCACACCTGGAAAGGATGAGCGGGTCAGCATCAGGGTACGATTTGACCCAAACACACGCTGCAGGGCTCTGTGTAATGGAGAGGAGGCAGCAGAGAGCAATGGGAGTGGGAGGGGTCATAAAAAGAGGACACAGGGACAAGAAAAAGAAAAGAAAAGAAAAGAAAAGAAAAGAAAAGAAAAGAAAAAAGAAAAAAGAAAAGAAAAGAAAAAAAGAAAAAAAACTATTAAGCACATATATACAGTACAATACAAAAAAATATTTCACACTCTGGCAAGTTTTCTTTTTCCTTTTCTCTCTGTATGGAATTGTTTAGCTTAGGGAAAATCAAAACCTTATTGATCACAATGACATTATGGAGTCTTGCTGCTGTTTACAAAATGTAGCTTCAGTCAATAATACATTGTAATTAGAGGATGAAGGAAGAACAAATATGAATAAGAGAGAGGAAAAGAAGGCAATGGAATATGTGCATTAATAAAACAAAAACAATATTTGAATGTAATTCATGTGTGAAGAAATAACAACAGCAAGGTATTGTGTGTATAGGTAATTGTGAATTTCATTTTTTTTAAATTTAGCATTTCCTAAAATGCAAAAAATCAGTAAATACTTTGAAATTTTAATATGTACTATATAATGTAGCAATTATTAATCACACCTTTGTCCATTAGGAGAGTTGCAAATTTTATTGTAAAATGTAATAAAAATTTGTGRAAAACATATATAAAGTACAATTTTGAGTAAAGAGAGAACAATTTCCATTATAAAGCAGGATACTAGTTTGCTCTGTTTGGATTGACAAAAACTATGAAAATGTTGTTTACAATATACAGTTTATTGTCTCAGAAATGGAAACAGTTGTTCCAAAGTTGCTGTGATGCTATTGCGAGTTGTTCCAGGACAAACAGGGTGGTAGATGGGTTTTCAAGAAATACATCAATCTTTGATTAGGTGCTCCAGCTTCTGGACAGATTGCATTACTTCACTCTATGGGGTAACCGGAAAAAAAAATGTTGGCGGCAAAAGTGAAAGCTTTCCCTGGTAAAAAGTCAGAAAACAAACTGACAAGTTATAAAGCTGTCCAGAATCCAAAACAGTATTGAATCTTTGTCATGCTGGCACAACACACCAACCAGCCACAACATAAAAACCACTCATCTAATATAATAAATATAGTGCTTGTCCGACCGGAAGATCTCTGACTCATCAGCCAATAGAGTCTGGGAGTATTCTCTGGTGTCTGAAAGTGGAACTTTGATAGCTTTTATTCTGTGCCACATATGCATGTGGTGCTGCTGGGGATGAAGCCTGTTCTGATGCATTCAGAGGACTCTCAATCAAACTGAGATACTGTATGTGGAGTTCTGAAGCTTGGCAACCTATGCTCTTTATTGTGGTTTTTAAGCTGTTTTGCAGCATTTTTTTTTCTTTTTTTCAGGGTGTTCTGAAAAGTTGTCTTGCAGATGAAGGTAAATGTCATTAAGAGTSTCTTTGCAAAATGTGGTGTGCCTAATCTAAAACATCAACAGACATGTGAGAAAATGTCCAGTTTTCAAACATACCCACTAATAAAAACACAGCTTTTGCATTATGAAATTTTGGAAACTAAACAAAGAAGGGTGTGTAAAAAGTTCCAAAAGCCTGCAGCAGCTATTCACAATCTGTTGRTAACAGTCTGAGCTAAATCAGATACTGGCTTTTATTATTTTATATTCACATTTTACTATTTGTTTCAAGCATTTTCAGTCAATTACCCCGGCATAAGAAAGCAATATACAGTATAAACAACCACAAGTGACCAAATAAACATCACACGGACAGATGAGTTTATATTTTAAGRATCCCTTCATTTATAAAGATGCTTTTAAGATTATGGTTTGTTGACAGACCATGCTCATGGCATAGGTAAATAAATAGCAAGATAGGAAGAAAAATGTACATAGCAAATTTCATCRACAGATCTCATTTTGCTTTGTGACTGATGTAAATTTAAATGCAACTTGCAGGCTGCTGTAAAGCCTACATAATGTTGATGGATTATATTTACACTTTTTTTCTGTGTATCCCTTTGCAAACAAAGCACAGCACCACAGATGTTTGGATTCTACTGTAATGGCAGCTTTGGGGTTCATGTTTAAAGTTAATGCATTACTATTAGTGAGTAAGACTTACTAGRGTAAAAGTCTTCTACTTTTTTGTTTAATCTCTCATTGATAGAAAAGTTAAAACATGTCAATGCATTTACTTCTTTATATTTGTAATCATATAGCATCTTTACTAGTGCATATACATTCACCCATTTGCCCCTTATGTAAATTAAATTGAATAAGAGTTTTCATTTAGTACCAACTAAGCACAGTTTGCTATTATACTGCACGTCATGGGTTCATCTTCATATATATATATATATATATATAAAGACAGAGAAAGAGAGAAGATAGTGTAATGAAATGTAGCTGCATGCAGTTAAACATTGGGTGATATTTGTCAAAAAATATTCATGAGCTTGAGTGCTCCAAAGTTGTCTTATCAGAATATTTCAATGTAATGACATAGTAGATTTTGCTCATTTACACTGTCAGTGGTTGCATGTTAAAGGGTATAGGCGCTGGTACATTTCATGATATGCTTTGGTGAATCTCCTTAGCTGTTTTCACATTGTTCTGTTTTATAGCACTCATTTTAATGTATCTGCAAAGAGCTGCAAAGGCATGCCAAAACAATGAAATATACATTTTCTTAAACAAGTATTCATACTCCATGTAATTTTCCATATTTTGTCATATTACAACTAAACTTCAAAATATTTTATTGGGATCCTTCGTAACAGACCGACACAAGTGACATAATGGTGGAGTGGGAGAATGTTATTTTTTTGTAACAAATAAACAGTATCACTCCACCCCCTGTTAACAATAGGTATTAATTAGGTGTCAATGGTAGCCATGTGATGTGAGTATCAGTCACATGGAGGCAGTGCTTAAAAGCCTGAATTTTGCCTGAAACTCTCAGACTGAAGAAGTCTCTTGGAGAAGAGACGAAACGTTTCGTTAGAGAAGAACCCGTCCAGAAGACCTATACAATTTTTTTTCTTTTTGATTTTTTACCTGGATTACTGAGATGCATCAGGACGTTGTCCATTATGTTTTTTGTAAAGCAGCTTAAGCCAAGTCAGACTCCATAAATAACTTCTGTAAACAGAAGTTMTCAAGTCTTGCCACAGATTCTCAGTTGAATTGAGGCCTGAACTTCGACTGGACCATTTGAGCACATGAAAATGTTTTGATCTAAACAACTTTGTTGTAGTTCTGGTTATAAGTTTAGGGCTGTTGTCCAGCTGGAGGGTGAACCTCCACCCCACTCTCAAGTCATTGTGGCCTCTGTCAGGTTTTCTTTCAGGATTTCTCTTTGTTTAGCTTTATCCAGTTTCCCATTAACCTTGATCAACTTCCTTGTCCCGGCTGAGGAAAATCTTCCCACAGCATGATGCTGCTACTCTCCTGTTTCACTGTAGAGATGGTATTTTATAGCAACATGCACTGCTAGTTTTCTGCCACACACAGCCCTTTGCATTTTGGTTAAAATGTTCAMTTTTGGTCTGATCTGAGCAGAGCTTCTTCTGTGTTTGRCAATTCCCCTTCATGGCTTGTGMCAKGTTGCGGACAGAACTTCTTGTGGTYTTCCTTTTGTCATTCTTCCATAAAAGCCAGTTTTGTGAAGTGTATAACTAAATGCTGTTCTCTCTACAGATTGTACAACCAGAGCAGCTCTTCCAGAGTCACCTTGGGCTTTTTGGCTGCTTCTCAGAATAGCACTCATCTTGCCGAGCCTGTAGGTTTAGGTGGAGGGCAAAGTGTTGTTTTGCAATTATATCATATCTGACCTGTGCTWGCAAAATGAGTCAACACAAACACAGGCCGCAGTGCAAAAAAAAAGGTAATTTTTTTTTTGTAATAATCGAGATGTGTAAAAAAACAAGTTCATAAAGATACCATCTTACAACACTTTAACTAAAATAGAATACAATCTTACTAACAAGCATGTTTAAATAAATAATTTACTTAATATTTATCCTGTTAATTATTTTTTAATAAACTCGGAACAATGTTTTATAACCTAATGCAACTTCAAACTTCTGAACAACTGTTTCCTCTTGGTCTTCCTGATTCTGATTGCTCACTAATGTTTTGTAACACATCTCTAAAACACCAACAGAGCAACTATATTTATCCTGAGATTAAAGTAGACACAGATGCATGTTGTTTACCAACAAGATGACTTCTGAAGGCTATTGTGTGCATTATATTTTAGTTGAGAGTATTAGATAAAAAGAGCTGAATACAAAACTGCTAGTGTTTATTAAAAAAATAAAATAAAACCATGCATCGTTTTTGTTTCCAATTCTCAATTTCTTGKTTCTTTGTGTTGGTGTATCACATACACTCCCAGTGAAATACCATCTTTATAACATGACAAAAAGAGTAAAGGTTCAATGGAAATGAACCCTTTTATTTAGGCCCTGTATCTCATTTCACTTTGTGGGCTATTCTAGCACAAATGACAATATCCACACAAACAGGCTTGGCAATTGTCAGCATGATGCATAGGGGATAACATATGATCATATGAACTGAGGGGATTATTGAGCATTAAAGGCCAAATACTTGTCATCAAGCCTGCATGTGTGGTGTCATTTAGCAGATATCCATGATCCATATGAATTCCCATGCTTTAGTGATTATGCCCTACAGTCACAGTGAAGCCTACTTTGTAGGTTTGTGAACATAATGGGCCATTAAACAGTTCCAGTGCCAGACCCAGATGAGAAATTCAAGCACCCCGGGAGCCGGGCTCATTAAAACATATTTCTGCACATGGTATTCAACTTACTATTTGTCTGCAAAAGTCACAGGCTAAGAATTGGAATGGGGTATAAGTCAATGCTGTGCAATGAACTGACAAAACTTTTGCATGCCAGCTCTGTCACTTTTTTTTCAGAGTCACTGCTCAATAACCTCTAATTCCYAAGTTGATGTTGAATTTTGTGCATGCGTGACACAGTTTTCACATTGCACAGTGCATTTAGAGTTGGCCAATGTGTCACTGCTTTGTGAGGGGGTGGCAGTGAGTTGGCTACCATATAACAAGCTGGCCAAACTACTTCTGTCACTGATTATGGATGCACTCACTTTTCTGTAGCTAGCACCATAGAGTAGCCATATAGGCTGTGGACATCATAGTGGTTTCCCCAGGCTTGCTTGGCATCCATACAAAGGGTCTTACTGTACATCACCTCATCCAGAATCTCTGAGGAGAAGAAAAGGGATAAAGAAAGTGAGGAGATGGACCAAAGGTAGCTGAAAACACAGAGTGGAGTAAAGGATGTGGAGCAATAAGGGGGAAAGGAGCAGAGAGGGACAGAGAGAATTTCAAAAACCTTGGTATACACTGCAAAAGAAAATTGTAAAAGTGAGAAAATCAGAGAAGGAACAGAAGAAGAGGGAGTAGATGATTTAGGAGGAGAGCAATCAAAGTGTGCCTTCTCCAGTTCTGATCATACTCTCTTGGAAATTGTTAGAATAAAAGACATGGTTCAAGAGTACTTTTTTAAAAAAAATTTTAGTAGGAATCAACATTTTTTATTGAGCTTTATTAAAGTTCATGAGTTAGTAAACTTTATATTACTCACCCATATTATCCCAAACAGTTTGCATACTGTAGCATCTTATGTTATTTTGTAAGGTTAAACAAGTGTTTTCAGATTAAAAATATAGAAAAATATCATGTGCAATGGTGTACTGTGGAAAACTGATACACGATTACTATACTGTAATATAATGGCTTTCTGAACAAATTTAGTTTGAGGAAAAACATAGAATTTTATCTCCGGACTGAAAAGCCAATGGCCAGTCTGAAAGCAAAATGCCTAACAAGTGATAAAATTGACAACAAAATCAATATTTAAATAATAAAAAAGAAACTGAAATTGAACCTGCTTGGACTATCCATTAGTTCACCAACCCATTCACAATTAAATTATTTTTCCCTAAATTGAAGCTATACATCAGGTAAGATACAAAACTTTCATAACCTTTTCAAAGAACTTCAAATGTTTTGTGAAACTAAAACTTTCCATGAAAAAAAAATACTGTATATACATATA